GCAGAAATGCGGACCGTAGTTTGATTATGCGATCCGCAAACTTCATCGCTCCCAACGATTGAACTTATCCTTCAACAATGGCGGTCCTAATTTTTACTACCCAGCACCCTAAAACACACTACTTAACCAAAATCATGTTATGAACAGATATCTAACTACAACACACAAACAAGAAGAAAGAAAGGAAAACAGAAACAAAAATAGGAGAAACAAGAACAAGAACAAATGTAAAAACTAAACCTTGCAAGAATGGAATTGGGACAAGGAAAACATACCAGTGACGGCTTTATGAGCACACTTGGAAGATTAGTTCACAGATGTTGCCTTACGTACGTGATGCACTAGCCGTTTTGCCTTCTCCGTTCCTTTTCTTTTTTTTGTTTTGTTTTGTTTCTGATAAAAAAAAATTTCTTTTTGTTTTGAATAAAGAGATGCGAAGGATATACCTGAACAATTGCGATGGGTAAGTCATCGCATAACACACTATGCAACCGCATAAGTGTTATGCGGTGGATTATGCGGTGGATTCAAGTGAGTTACTGGAGGGCCAAAAATGCGATGCACTATGTGATCGCATAGTGGAAATGCGGTCCGCAAAGTGCACCACCTTGTCGCATTTTTATCACCAATTTTAGCCAAACACACTGTGTGGGTTTGCGACCAAAATGCGGTCCGCATAGTGAAAATGCGACTGCATATGTGTAGCAAACTTCCCAAGGTGATTTTTCTACCCTTTCTCATGCAATCTTGCCTCGTGTTATGATCTTTTGAATCCCCTACACTCTAACACACACTTTAAATTGCTCAATTAAATCTATCTAACAAAAATTAAAAATTTAAAGGCCAAAAAGGGTGTTACCACACATGGGTTGCCTCCCATGAAGCGCTTGATTTAACGTTGCGGCACGACGAAGTTGGCATTCCTTAGGATTCACTCATTGGTCAAGCATGGACCATCTTTGAGAGCCGACTGCTCCACCAAATGTTTTTCTCCATCTGTGCCCAAGTAGTGTTTGACTCGCTGAACGTTCACTTTGAAGGTTCGGAGCCCGTCCTCCGATTCTAATTCCACAGCTCCAAAAGGAGAGACATTGACCACCTTGAACGGACCGGACCAGAGCTTGCCCGGAAACAATTTGAGCCTTGAGTTAAAGACCAAAACCAAGTCACCCGACTTGAACTCCCTCTTCAAGATCTTTTGTCGTGGATGAACTTCATCCTTTCTTTATACACAGTTGCACTTTCATATGCATGGAAACGGAATTCCTCCATTTCATTGAGTTGTGTTAACCTCAAATTTGCAGCTTCAGCCCAGTCCAAGTTCAACCTTTTTAGAGCCCACATGGCTTTGTGTTCCAGTTCTACGGGTAGATGACAATCTTTTTCGAAGACTAACCGATAAGGAGAAGTGCCAATAGGAGTTTTGTATGCCGTGCGGTATGCCCACAATGCGTCATCTAGCTTCCTTGACCAATTGGTCCTGTTTGCATTGACGGTCTTTGCTAGAATGCTCTTTATCTCCCGGTTGGAAACTTCAACTTGACCACTTGATTGGGGATGATAAGAGCTGGCCACCTTATGCTTGACGCCATATTTCTCTAGTATCCCCGTGAAAGCCTTGTTACAGATATGAGACCCACCATCACTAAGAATGGCTCTAGGAGTGCCAAACCGAGTGAATATGTTTTTCTTTAAGAATATGGTCACACTCCTTGCCTCATTGTTTGGTAAGGCAATTGCTTCAACCCATTTGGACACATAGTCCACAGCCACCAAGATATATTTCATCCCACAAGAGCTCACAAAGGGACCCATAAAATCAATTCCCCATACGTCGAAGATTTCTATCTCCATCACAAAGTGTATTGGCATTTCATGCCTCTTGGAGATTGATCCTTGCCTTTGGAATTTGTCATAAGCCTTGACCATTTGATTAGCATCATGATAGATTGATGGCTAATAATAACAACATTCAAGCACCTTAGCCGCTGTTCGATTTCCCCCATGGTGACCCCCAACCGGTGAGTTGTGGCATGCCTTTAGAATTGGCATAATTTCTTCTTCTGGAACACACCTTCTGATGATGTTGTCAGCACAAACACGGAACAAGAATGGTTCTTCCCAATAGTATTGCCGATAGTCTTTCAAAAACTTCTTCTTTTAATAGGATTCCAATCCCTCCGGAATAAGGTCACTAACCAAGTAGTTAGCAATATCGGCGTACCAAGGAGCAAAAGTGCTAGATAGTGCCAATATTTGTTCATCCGGGAATGCATCGTTGATTTCAAGATCTCCCTTTGGCCTCCCTGCCTCTTCAAGCCTTGATAAATGATCCGCTTCTTGATTTTGCGTTCCCTTGCGATCCTTGACCTCGAAGTCAAATTCTTGCAATAACAAGACCCACCGAATCAACCTAGGCTTTGCATCCTTCTTTGCCATGAGATAACGAAGAGCAGCATGGTCTGTGTACACTATCACCTTGGATCCCAACAAGTAAGCCCGGAATTTCTCAAAGGCATTGACAATGGCAAGAAGTTCTTGCTCAGTCACCGTATAATTCATTTGCGCTCCATTGAGTGTCTTGCTTGCATAATAAACCGGGTGAAGAACCTTTTTGTGACATTGTCCAAGCATTGCTCCAATAGCTACACCACTGGCGTCACGCATGAGCTCGAAAGGAAGAGACCAATCGGGTGTGACAATAATAGGTGTCGTGGTGAGCTTTTGCTTCAATTGCTCAAAGGCTTTGTGGCATTTCTCGTCAAACACAAATTTTGCATCTTTCTCAAGGAGTTTGCACATAGGATTTGCAATCTTTGAAAAATCCTGGATGAAACGCCTATTAAATCCGGCATGCCCCAAGAAACTTCGGACACCCTTAACTGAGGTAGGTGGAGGAAGCTTGGAAATGATCTCGATCTTTGCTCGGTCAACCTCTATTCCATGTTTCGAAATTTTATGCCCCAATACAATGCCTTCATCCACCATGAAATGGCATTTCTCCCAGTTGAGCACAAGGTTGGTCTCCTCACATCTCTTGAGCACTTATCCAAGATTATTAAGACAATGCTCAAAATAGTCGCCTACCACCAAAAAATCGTCCATGAAAACCTCTAGAAAGTCCTCCACCATGTCGGAGAAAATGGACATCATGCATCTTTGAAAAGTAGTCGGCGCGTTGCACAAACCAAACGACATCCGGCTAAAGGAAAAAGTTCCATAAGGACAAGTGAATGTTGTCTTCTCTTGGTCCTCCAATGCTATGTTGATTTGGTTGTAGCCGGAATATCCATCAAGTAAGCAATAGAATGACCTTCCCGCTAGCCGATCAAGCATTTGATCAATAAAAGGCATAGGGAAATGGTCTTTACATGTGGCACTGTTGAGCTTCCGATAATCCATACACACCCTCCAACCGGTCACCGTTCTTGTTAGGATGAGCTCATTTTTATCATTTTAAATTACGGTCATGCCTCCCTTTTTCGGCACACATTGCACCGGGCTCACCCACGAACTATCGGCAATGGGGTAGACTACCCCAGCATCTTACCACTTGATGATTTCTTTCTTTACCACCTCTTGCATGGACGGGTTCAACTGTCGTTGGTGTTCCACACTTGGTTTAGTATCATTCTCCAATTGGATTTTGTATTCGCAAATTTCGAGGGTAATCCCCCGGATGTCCGCAATTATCCATCCAATAGCTTTCCTATGCTCCTTCAAGACATCCAATAATTGTTCTACCTGCACATCATTCAACAGAGAAGAAACAATTACGGGTAAAGTGTTATTTGAGCCAAGAAACTTATACCTCAAGTGTGGTGGAAGCCGTTTGAGCTCTAGTTGCGGTGGCTCGATAATAGAAGGCTTTGCGGGAGGAGTGGCTCTATTCTCCAAGTCGAGAGAGAGCTTTGTCGGAGCATAAGTGTAAGACCCAAGCCCCTCCAATGCATTTACCGATTCCATATACTCTTCCATATCTTCACCATCAAAGTTCACCAAAATAGCCACCAATTCCTCGCCGAGGCATTGTTCATCCATTTTCATTTCAACCACATCCTCTACTTCATCAACAACACCGATCACCGAGATGCTTTCATACTCATGTGGTAGTTTCATACCCTTGCTTGCTTGGAATGTAACCTCTTCATCATTCACACGGAATTTGATCTTATTCCGTTCCGAATCCATTAGTGCTCTTCCCGTAGCAAGGAATGGTCTCCCCAAAATGATAGGGATCTCTTTGTCAACCGCACAATCAAGGATTACGAAATCGGCAGGTAAATGAAACTTTCCCACCTTAACAAGAACATCATCAACAATTCCCACCGGTTTTTTTATGGAACGATCGGCCATTTGCAATCTCATACTTGTGGTCCTTGGCATACCTAACCCCACTTGCTTATAGATGGAAAGAGGCATTAAGTTGATGCTAGCCCCATTATCACAAAGGGCTCTTGCAAAATCACGTGCCCCAATAGTACATGGAATGGTGAAATCTCCCGGATCTTCTTTCTTTTGAACGGTGGATGTTGCAATGATGGAACTAACCCGGTGAGTCACGTTCACCATTTCATTCTTGGCGGTTCTCTTCTTTGTGATCAAATCTTTCAAATATTAGCAAACCCCGGCATCTCTTGAAATGCTTCCAATAATTTATTGAGAATGTCATACAACTTTTCGAGTTTGCTATCATTAACCTTCCTAGCAAGTCTTTGAGGGAATAGAGGACGAGGTCTAGGAATAGGTGGAAGAGTTTTTGTTGTCTCTTTACCTTTTCCTTTACCTCTTCCCGGTTCTGTTTTTGCACTTGCAACTCTTCCGGAATCTTTTCAACTTCGACAACACTTGGCTCTTCAACCTCAACCCTTTGTTCGGACTCTTCTACTTCAACCACTTATTCACGCTCTCCTTGTAGTACCTTCCCACTCCGAGTAGTAATTTCCATGATATGAGAAGTTGGGCCACTCCCACTACCCCTTGGGTTCACAATTGTGTCACTAGGGAGTGTTCCCTTTTTGCTTTGGATTTTGTTCCTTAGAGAGGTCTCTCATTTGCATCTCCAATTTTTGAATGGATGCGGTATGAGAGCCAACAAGCTCGTTCATGTTCCTCATAGAAGTGTCGGACTTCTCTTGATTTTGCAATACCCGTTCAAGCATGCATTCCAACTTGGAATCACTTGAGGAGCCTTGATTTGAATATTGACTCTTTGGAGGAACACAAGGATTTGAACTCCTATTTGAGAAGTTGTTGTTGTTATTCCAATTTCCTTGATTTGAGCTACCTTGGTTATTTCGCCATTGTTGGTTGCCTTGCCCTTGCGGGTTTGGACTCCATTGATTTTGTTGTCCTTGACCTTGGTATTGTTGTCTTTGATACCCTCCTTGAGGGTTGTTGATGTAGTTTGCTTCCTCAAAATCTTCATTTGATATAGGTTGCACATCCTCCACCACATTCACTTTTTTTGTTTGACTTTCCGTGAACATTTTTGTCAACACATTGACATTTGTGGCAAGCCCTGCGATTAGTTGATCTCTCTCTTGATTCTCCTTAATTAGGTTGGTCAAGGAGGGAGAACCATATGCAATTCTACCTGTGGTGTCCTCGATGTGCCAAGCTTGATTATGTTGTGCCATTTTGTCAAGGATCTGTGTGACCCTTGTGAATGTCTTGTCCATAAAAGATCCGTCAGCTGCATTCTTGGCTATAGATTGGTTCATCGGATCTAAACCCTTGTAGAATTTTTCCAACAAGATGGAATCCGGAAAACCATGATTGGGAGACCTCACCAAATATAATTTGAACCGATCCCATGCCTCATGTAGATGTTCTCCCGGTACTTGCTTGAAAAAGAAGATTTTATCCCGGAGCTCAGATTTCTTACTTTGCGGGAACCATTTAGCTAAGAACACCCGGACAAGTTCGGGCCAAGGATGAATGGAGTTTGGTGGCAGATTTTGAAGCCATTTCCTTGCGTCCCCAGCTAGTGAGTACTTGAAGCACCTCAACCTTAGGGCATCAGCAGTGACGTTGTTTTGCTTGTGCATCGCACACACACCCAAGAAGTTTCTAAGATGTTGTGTCGGATCATCATCAGTGGAATTCCTGAAAAACCCCTCCTCTTTGAGCATAAGGATTAAACCATGTTCCACCTTGAAAGTTGCAGCGCCAACGACCGGAGGTACAATAGCATTTGTATCCTCAATGTACTGCTCTATGTCCGCAAAGGGATTTTCTTCCATTTCCGCCTCCATTTCTTCTTCATATTCGGGCATGTTTTCCGTTCAACACCAAGCAAAACAAGCAAAGTGTGATGGGATAGAATAAGACATAAAGTAAATCACACACTAATTAGTAATTTCAAAATCGTATTCCCCGGCAACGGCGCCAAAATTTGATACGCTCAAATTGCACTTTAACTAAATAGTGTAAGGCGGTCAGTGTCAAATATAATAACCCAACAAGGTTAGGGTCGAATCCCACAGGGAATAGGTGTGAAAACCTTACTCAATTAGTGTGTCACTCGACTTAAGTCGTAATTCTATCCGGTTAATGGTAACAAGAGTATGGTATGATTGTGATTCGAAGAAATAACTAATTGCGATATTAAGAATGTAATTAATTTGATTAAAGAAACCAAAGTTGTGTCCCCTTCAATGAAGTGTAATGCTATCGGTGTTAATATAATATATTTCTACTGAAAGGTTCTTTTAATATGCAAATGATTTCTAAATGACTACCCAATATTTTCCAATAGTTGGGTAGTATTTCCTCTTTATGATTTTTCCAAATATAAAAGAGTTGCAATTAAGAACAATCAATATATGCCAAATAAAACCCACTTATTCCTAAGCGATTCTATTAAACAAGGTTTAAAACCTTGAGTCTTTGATATTTACTTCTACCAAATTCTAATCCACTTTCCCAAGCAAAGTAAGAATTTAATGGCACTTGTTAATGTTTGCAACCACCAACAATAAATGAAGAATGAGAAGTAAATAAATATCAACCAACCATTATATATATATTCAATGGTAAATACCCATTAACATAACACCCATTTAGGGTCCACAACCTTAGTATTTAAAGTTAGCTACACATACTAAAATACAAAAGGATGAGAATATTTTATGCCATAAAGCATACAAAGTGCAAGATTCTTCCTTCAAAAGCTTCCAAAAGAGAGGAATATAAAAGCCTTCTATTGTAGCCCCAAAATCAGACAAGATGCCCCCACAAACCCCAATAAATCTATTTATAGTGGGTCAAAACCGGGACAAAAATCGGACAAAAATATCCTTTTCGGTTAAATATGCGACCGTATATCTGTCGCATAACAGACATGCGGTTCGCAATCTTGACATGGCCATCGCATTTTCAAACCCTAGTTCTGAGGCCTTCATCGCATTCACGTTTTGCGGCTCGCATTGCAGATATGCGATCGCATTTCGCGTCGCATTTTCTACCTTCAACAACCTTCATGACGTATTTGCGGTCCATTATGCGGCTTGCAAACACGTTATGCAATCGCAGATTGTACCGCATTTCTTGCACTGGACATTGGCCATCTAACTGTTGTGGTTTGCGATCTCCTTGTGCATTATGCGGCCCGCATGTTGGATTTGCGGTCCGCATTTCTACATTTGCGATGCATTTTGCTCTTTTCTTGTCTTTTTGTGGCTTTTTCATTTCATTTTCATGCTCTTAAGTCCTTAAATTTAATACACTGCAAAAACACTAAAATTACATAAGTATATAAGATAATTGCATTTAAAACAAGCTAAAATCTAAGCAATTTGTATTAAATGTGCCAAAATTCTCCGGCACATCACCTAACATATCTTCAGCAAAAGAAACATGATGAGGAAAGGCCAGATTTCAGAGCTAACAGAGAAAGAAACATTAGAAAGATAAAGTCTTACGTCTGGATCAGGCATACTTCGTATGCGATACTCGTGCATTTTCCAAATGGTTTTTCTTGATTTTACATGATCTCCTTCGTAAAAATCAAGTGCCATTTTGTATCCAACGGTCAGACCATCGTCCTTGACCTCTAAATCAGCTCTGGTTGCCTTCCAATAGCCTATATTCGGAACTGGCCGAATTGGTCTTCCCCCTTTTTTGTACCTTCTTTCAGTAAAGAAATACCACTCATCCTCTCTTTGATGCCTCATTTGCTCTACAACACGCAAATGCAAACACAATGAAAAATCTTTACATTGGGTAAAAAGTTAAGAAATTCATATTTCCAAACATGTAAACTGAAAGAAGAAGACAGAAAGAGAAAAAAAAACATAGGGGTAAATTTCACATAACAGGTTGATTGATACAGTGTATATATCCTGAAATTATGACATTAATCATGTATACAATAGTATTAATTAATACAATATGTTAGATGTTATTTCTTAAATTTGTTTTCTTGGTATTGTTCTAGATGTTATGAAAAATACAAAACTGCAATTGCAGAAACAGAAGCTTGCTCTAGCAAAGCAGTTAAACCTTTATCCAAGACAGGTCGATACTATCAGGTTAGCGAAAAGATAGTTAATTACAGGTCGATAACCCGGAAAAGTGGAATTAAGTAACCTTGATAATAAAGCAATTAATTTATGTTATTTCTAAAATTTATTTTCTTGGTATTGTTCTTGATGTTTTGAAAAATACAAAACTGTAATTGCAGAACAAAATGAGAAAGATAAATGACTTAGAATACTAACTGCATATGTTTTTAGGATGGTGCTGCTAGATGTTCAGAGTAGTGATTTTGTTCTTGGGAAACTCTTCATTATGAACCTTTTTTGTCAAATAACTAACAAGGAGTTGCAAATCAGATGGCTGAAATCGGAAGCCCTTAGGCAAAGAACCAAAGTACTCTTCCACTTCATTAATAGGACCTGCCATTTTCTTGAAAAGAGGAAGAACGAACAACAAGAAGAAAAGAAAGAACTTTGATTTTGGGAAGAGGAAGTGGAACTGAAGAACACGAACAAAAAGAAGAAAAGAGCGAATTTCAGTATAAGCGGTTAAAATGCTGGGTCTTCCCAATTCCAACCTTCATATATCACGGCTCCTTTTTTCTTTTTCTTTTTTCTTTTTTAATTTCTTCCGTCACTTTCAAACAAGGGTGTCATGTGGGTCGGGCCGGGCTTAAAGGGGACTCATGGGCCGGTCCTAAGTGAGCTCTGGTTTCGTGGGCCGGGCTTAAACGGCCCCGGGCTTCGTGGGATTTTGATAAGAACCGGACCGGGATCGAGACCACAAACTAATGGTTCTAGGATAAGCAGGCCGGTCCAGGGCCTAAGTGGGCCCAACGATTCAAAAAAAAAAATATTATCTAAGGCAATTCCGTGTAAAAACTACATTATAGAATTGTGAATTCAAATTTAAACACAAAAATATTGTAAAGAGATATTCAAAGCAATGCATTATTATTTTTATTATAGCATCAACAAAACATAGCAATATCTTTCTTAGTCTTCCTTCCCCATGGAATGAGCACAACAAGGTGCTAATACCACCATTGAGAAGAAAAAGAAACTAATCAAGATTTGCTAAAATACAAGTTGCATCCTCCGTTGGTGGTGGCGGAAAACTAATCTAGGTATCTCTTACAAATTTCATAAATCCTTCAAAGTTCGGAGAAATTTTCGTTGGTGGTAGCGGAAAAGAAGCTTGTTCATCACCACTTCCGGACGAAGGTGCATCCTCCGCAAGTTCAGCTAGCATTTCTTTGTAAGCTTCGTCTACCTCTGATTGTGATTCAGCAAGTCCAAAATTTCTTCATTCCGAACGGGTCCAATCTCTGAAAAGTAATGATTTTTCCAAGCTCTCCATCATAGACGCTCTATAATCACCGAGTTGAAGTCTTGCTTGACTGAAAGTGCTCCCTGATGCCACTGTTGAAGGTTGAATGGTCAAAATGTCTCGGGCCATCCTTGAAAGAATCGGAAAGTATTTTTCTTTGTCCTTCCACCATTCCAAAGATTAAATGAGCCATCGGGATTCACTTCCTCAATTCCCTGTGACAAATAAACTTCAAGCTCATTTAGTTGTGAACAATCACTAGTACTAGAAACGTTGAGAACCCCTGAACCCGCCCAAGCAGTAAGTGCTCTTACTCCCGCAGTGCTTTTAAATGATTAAGAACTAGAAGAAGAAGGAGTTATATCATTTGGTCTAGCATTATCTATTGCAATTTGATAAGCACTATAAATAGTTTGAGCATTTATTTTAATTTAGGCTTGTGCGTCCGAAAGTGTAGACAACTCCTCCTATTCAAGTGCTAAACCATTATAAATAGATTAATACCAATATTGAGGACCTCCTAATTTCATAGTAGGATTTAACAAGGCAGCAACACCATAAATAGGGGGAATAGGAAAAAAATATTTTTTAATTTTCTTTCTCATAGAATCAATAGTTTGTTCATAAATTTCCCACCCTCTAAAAAATAAACAAACAATTTGCAAGTTCTGCAAGATAAATTAACAGTTAGCAATAGTAGGATAATATTGCCCAGAAAATTCATTTGTAGCAATATGAATTTTTTCTAAAAAATCTACTAGCATTTTAACATTAGCCCAATCCGCATTGGTAAGGTGCTCATCATCATCACTTACATGAGCATTAAACGTTGATTTTATGGGGTTTCTATATTCATATGCAACAACTAAACTTTCATACATGTAATTCCATCTAGATCGACAAGGTTTAGGAACATTTCTTTCTCTTAGGCCAAATTCATCGCATCTTTTAAAATATTCTTTAAGTCTACTTCTACGGTTTGAATAAAAAAGCCAGTGAAGATGTCACGACCCAGATTTCTCACCCTCGGGAGTCGTGATGGCGCCTACTCATAGAAGCTTGGCAAGCCGCGAATTGTAGAATTATTAACTCATATATTAGCCTTTTTTAACAATTTAAACTAACATGTTATCAACACTGAAGCATTAACGATAAATAAAACAAGCGAAAGACTTAATCTGATAATTTAACCATAACCAGTACGACTACGCCAACATACATCTCTACCCGGAATCCGGTGTCGCAATATCACGGACTGCCTACGATTACTACATACAAATGTCTGAAAGAAAAGTACTATCTGTCTCGGAAGTAGATGAAAACAGAATACATATAAAGATAAAAGAGAACGCCGGGCCTGCGGACGCATGCAGGGCTACCTCGGGATCTCTAGCTGGACTGAAGGCAGCCACCCAAAGCTATGGTCCAAGCGCTTCCGCTCCGGGATCTGCACATAGTGCAGAGTGTA